CTAACGTAGTTGAATTCTTGAATATATTTAGAGGTTTTAGGGTTCTTTGATATCTGAGCACTGCGAGGTTGATAATTTATTTAAAATTAAATCCTAAGGGTAATGCATAATTTTAATGGATCGTTTCTCATTCTTGTTTTTAATAATTGGCCAATTCAGCTTTGTCCCCTCTTTGTGTGAAATGCAAATACCGAAAATCGTTTTTTCTTATTTATTTCCAAGAGAAGGGATTTCATAATTTTTTATTATTATAGATTGGATTTTATGAAGCACTGTTTGATGATCGATTGATTTTCTTTGGATTTGGAAAGAAGGCCAGAAGTTGAAGTAAAACAAATTTTTATGGTAATAAATTAATAATATACTTGGCATTTTAGCTATTTCTGGTTTTTGTTATACAATAGATTTGGTAAGAGAGCTTCCCCTTCTCTAGGTTGGTATCCTTTAGAGCTTGTTGCATGGATTAAACATAGTGTAAAATAAACTCCTAGTCCTTGGAAGTTGGCCCAAATTTGTATCTGGTCTTTATTTTGTTAACTGTTATAATTAAGTTTTCCCCTCCTTCACTCACCAGTTTACCATTGAAGTAAGGGTCTTACTTGTGCCAGAGTCACAACTTTCATTTCAACATATGTTAGTTGACGTAGTTTTTGCTTATTTAGCAAACTTAATTGCTTCTAAGGATGTCAACACTCATCATAATACATGCCATATGGCTCTATAGTCAAATGTACATTATTCAAGTGGCATTTGTTCAGTCAGCTTCCCATTTTCATGGGATTAGGCTTTCAAACTACTCCCAATTGAACCTAGCCAATTAAAAGAAACGACTTGGTTAAAATTTGGGCCATATTGTGGGTAACAAAAATGTAGTTTAGGTTAGCCATTAAGTATATATGCAAAGTTGAAATTTAATGATTCTTGTATATTTGCCTATGAGTACCACTGGAGTCAACTCTGTAAGGATACGCCCTTCCTTTTCATTCTCTTTGCACGGTGTTTCCTATAGTTCTTGTTTTGTATCACTATTTATCATAACTCATTGTTGCAAGAAATACTTGGAATTGAATTTTGCTTTATATGTTCGGCACAGTGTAAGCAGCTGTCCGTGCTAGCATGGCATCTGGTAGTCCATTTTTCGATGATGTGCGGACCAAATCTGAGGTTATTGATCCTCCTCAAAGTGAAGACATGATGGATGTTGGAGAAGGTGTGAATGATGCTACTCTCATCCCGTTAAAACCTAATGCGACCGTTTCCAGCAGTGTTCGTGAACTTCTGGAGTGCCCTGTGTGCTTAAATGCCATGTACCCCCCTATTCATCAGGTTTGATTAATTTTAACAATTTTGCTTATGTTATGAAATTGGTCAAACCACTCCCTTAGTTGTCAGTCTAGTGTTAATTCTACGCATTCATCAGGTTTGATTAATTTTAACAAGTTTGCTTATCTTATGAAATTGGTCAAACCACTCCTTTAGTTGTCAGTCGAGTGTTAATTCTACTCATTCATTCAAGATATTGTAGTAACTGAATCTAGCATGCTTGTCACTTGTTTCCCTGCGTTTGGTAATAATTCATTTTTCATTCTAGTGTGTGGTTAGGGCTTACTTGCTTAATACAAATTTTTGGGAGGGTTCTCTTTGGAAAGTGGTAGATGAGGTGCTATTATTTGCAGTTTTGGGGAGGGTTCTGTTGTGCCATTATTTGCAGCTTTTCGTGCATTATGAAGTGATCCAGTCTCCCATTTTCTTTGCACAGAAAAACAGTTAGCTATGCTGTTTGGTTGTATTTTTTCAATTCATCTGTCTACTTTTGTTGATGTCAAATTTTATCTCACTATTTGATTAGTCTCATTGTGTAACTCAAATATGGGCTAAATATGGTCTAAGCCCAGAATTAGATGTATATGGGACACTGTTAGGATAGTGGGCTTGTAGGACTAACTTGAGTCTGTGCAATTTCCCCTGAACTAATGTGACATGCTCATTCTATAGGAGCTGTTTGTCAATATTTTGTAAAATGAAAAACATATGCATTTAATTGGTCCACTTGAAAAACACAAACATTAGTTTTTGGAATTCTACTCCCAATCTGTATGTTAATTTTGATAACGATATGAGCTAGTTGACGCGACATGACTTATAAAAATACAACCAATTTTTTTTAATTCTCTCACTCAACTCTCAAACTCTCTCAATCCCACTACTCTCTACCCTGCTACCCACAACTGTTTCCTCTCTTCTTACATGTTTTCTATCTCTAGCATAGCCCCACAAGCAACTCTCCTCTCTCACTTTCTCTGATGGAGCTATGGGGACCACAATTGTATTATGTAACAAAGTCTGGTTCATTGTTGATGACAAACCAAACCATAAACTCTATCCTCAATTTCACAACGTATTTAGTGAAACTTTTGTGCATTTTTTGCAAGAAAAATGGAGAGTGCAATGATAGGAAAAAGAAGAGCCACTAAAGCTGCAGATTTTGTAGCACCTTTGGATTGCAGGAAGACGAGGTCTATCGACTGTGTTATGGCATTCCTATCTTCCTTAATAGAGATGAGTTCAGATCTATAGAACATGGAAGACTCTAGAGATCCTGGTTCTTTAGCCTGAGTTAGGAGTCGTCCCCTTGTTTTGTTTTGAGCTTATGGTTTGTTTGACTTATCTCCATAATTGTGGTTATGCTTTTGCCAGATGTAATTTGTAAAATTGTAAATTTTGTTCTTTTCTTTTATTTCTATTAATTACAGTAAATAACGATTTTGGTACCAGATGTGTTTTCATTGTTCTTTTTCTCTAGGACAACTGTTTTCCGATTACACTACCAGACATGTTTTTGGATCCGGAAGATGCTAAATTCAACCTCTCTTTTTTGTTGTGCAAAAATGTTTTAATCTATTTTTTTGGTGCAGACATTACCAGATGGGACGTCACTTTCTCATTTCAACCTTTATTGATGATGTCTGTCATGTTTATAAGTTTGTTTCATTATAAGTAGACTTGTTTAAAAAATTTCAATGTTATAAGTTTCTTATCTGTATAAATTTTTTAGTGATAAAGTACCTAGGAAGTAGATTTATGTATGCAAAAATGCTTAGTGCATGGAAATAATCTTCCAACGCTCTATGGCCTTTTAGGAGTTGTTTTCTTCCAATAACTAGCATTAAATTAGCTATCACAACATGTTGACTGCTATCTCTGGAAAGTAGAATTAGATACTGTCATTTGATAAGAAAATTACCTGTAGGAATATTTTGACTGTCTGTTTTCTTTTTGTTATGTTGGTTCCCATGAACAAGAGAATGTCTTCATTGAGAGTGAAATAGTTATGGTTAATTTGCGTATTTTGGTAATTAGTGATAACAATCAGGTTTAGGCGGTTTTGTTCTTAGAAATACAATTACTCCAGCATGTCACTTCTTTGAGGGCAGTGACTACTTTTTAAAAGAATTGTTTCTGTTGATCTGTAAAAAGCAGGCTGTACAATTATCCTAATAATTTTGTTGAAAATGTGCTATATCAGTGTGTGAGGCACTTTCTGAATCCATTCTGATAAATTGTGCATGCACGTGCACACACACATACAGAGGGCCTAACATATGTAATAAGAATTTCAATGTTCCAAATTAGATGCTAGCTTTTTATCCTGATTTGCATTCTCCCTTTGTGCAGTGTTCAAATGGTCACACGTTATGTTCTGGTTGCAAACCCAAGGTTCACAACCGGTGTCCCACTTGTAGGCATGATCTTGGTAATATAAGATGTCTTGCATTGGAGCAGGTGGCTGCTTCTCTGGAACTTCCATGTAAATATGAGAGTTTTGGTTGCATGGGCATATACCCTTATTACAGCAAGCTAAAACATGAATCTCAATGTCTACATAGACCCTATAACTGCCCCTATGCTGGTTCAGAATGCACTGTTATTGGAGATATTCCTTATCTGGTGGCCCATTTGAAAGATGATCACAAAGTTGACATGCACAATGGCAGCACTTTCAACCATCGCTATGTAAAATCAAATCCCCATGAAGTTGAAAATGCTACCTGGATGCTAACGGTATATTATCACTGTCCTTGTCTCACTAATTTCCTTTATCCTTCTTGGCTTCCCCACTTACAATTAATTTCTCAGCCAACTCAGAACCTTGTAATATTGTTATTCTGTCTCCCTTTGTGCACATTCCAGACATGGATCCTGGCATAAAAGCTTTGATGAGTTACAACTACGTTGAAAAGAACAAGGGTAAAGATCTGTATCTTTTCTAATGTGCAGGTTTTCAGTTGCTTTGGCCAGTATTTTTGTCTACATTTTGAAGCTTTCCAGCTTGGGATGGCTCCTGTCTACGTAGCATTCTTGCGGTTCATGGGCGATGATAATGAGGCAAAGAACTACAGCTACAGTCTAGAAGTGGGTGGAAATGGGAGGAAGATGATTTGGCAGGGGGTGCCGCGTAGCATTAGGGATAGTCACCGGAAGGTTCGTGACAGTTTCGATGGTCTCATCATTCAACGTAACATGGCTCTCTTCTTCTCAGGGGGAGACCGGAAGGAGTTGAAGCTTAGGGTGACTGGAAGGATATGGAAGGAACAGTGATAGTAGTCTCTCCCTTAACCTCCTTCCTTCAATCTTTTTCTATAGTTTAGTAAGGTTAGTCACTTTTCATTGGCTATAAGTAGTCTCTTCTGCCTATGTATTTTTTGGAATTTAGGAAGCAAACTCTCTTTGCTTCTAGAAGGAACTCTTATTCTAGAATTAAAATCTCTCTCTGTACTCATGCGTGAAGAGAGAGGGAGGGAAGGGAGTCCATAAATCACCGTAATGTCCAGAGGATGATCACTCGTGACTTAAAATTGTCAAGTACAACGCAAAACTATAACTACAAACTTCACTCTTGCACGTTCATATCGAATCGAAGGCATGATTGCGTGCATGGATATCCCACTTGTTTCGAAGTTTAGAATGAAGAAGGAAACTGAATACTTGTTGTCGCGAGGATGGAAGTAGCAAACACTGTTGTGGTATATGGAGGCTTTACATGGTCATCTATGCTACTAGCTGTTATTAATTGATTGGATATTACACGTCAATGTAGAAAAAATAAATAAATATGTGTATCCCTAAGCTCCAGTACTAAATGACATGGTGTTTTTAGATTAGCGATAACATCGTCCTTGTCTCACTAATTTCCTTTATCCTTCTTGGCTTCCCCACTTACAATTAATTTCTCAGCCAACTCAGAACCTTGTAATATTGTTATTCTGTCTCCCTTTGTGCACATTCCAGACATGGAACCTGGCATAAAAGCTTTGATGAGTTACAACTACGTTGAAAAGAACAAGGGTAAAGATCTGTATCTTTTCTAATGTGCAGGTTTTCAGTTGCTTTGGCCAGTATTTTTGTCTACATTTTGAAGCTTTCCAGCTTGGGATGGCTCCTGTCTACGTAGCATTCTTGCGGTTCATGGGCGATGATAATGAGGCAAAGAACTACAGCTACAGTCTAGAAGTGGGTGGAAATGGGAGGAAGATGATTTGGCAGGGGGTGCCGCGTAGCATTAGGGATAGTCACCGGAAGGTTCGTGACAGTTTCGATGGTCTCATCATTCAACGTAACATGGCTCTCTTCTTCTCAGGGGGAGACCGGAAGGAGTTGAAGCTTAGGGTGACTGGAAGGATATGGAAGGAACAGTGATAGTAGTCTCTCCCTTAACCTCCTTCCTTCAATCTTTTTCTATAGTTTAGTAAGGTTAGTCACTTTTCATTGGCTATAAGTAGTCTCTTCTGCCTATGTATTTTTTGGAATTTAGGAAGCAAACTCTCTTTGCTTCTAGAAGGAACTCTTATTCTAGAATTAAAATCTCTCTCTGTACTCATGCGTGAAGAGAGAGGGAGGGAAGGGAGTCCATAAATCACCGTAATGTCCAGAGGATGATCACTCGTGACTTAAAATTGTCAAGTACAACGCAAAACTATAACTACAAACTTCACTCTTGCACGTTCATATCGAATCGAAGGCATGATTGCGTGCATGGATATCCCACTTGTTTCGAAGTTTAGAATGAAGAAGGAAACTGAATACTTGTTGTCGCGAGGATGGAAGTAGCAAACACTGTTGTGGTATATGGAGGCTTTACATGGTCATCTATGCTACTAGCTGTTATTAATTGATTGGATATTACACGTCAATGTAGAAAAAATAAATAAATATGTGTATCCCTAAGCTCCAGTACTAAATGACATGGTGTTTTTAGATTAGCGATAACATGTCAATGCTCTGCAAAATAGGTAGGGATGGTTGCGGTTCGGTAACTGCGAATTTTTACTCAAATCGCAAACCAACCGACTATTTGCGGTTTGGTGATTTTTGAAACCGCAAATCGACCGCGTTTTGCGGTTTAAAACCGCGAGTTCTCAAGCATTCACAAAAATATAAATTCACAACCTAAATAAATAAATACATAACCTCAATTTCTCAAACATATATAAATTCACAATCTCTTCAACTTCTCAAGCATTCACAACCTAAGAAAATTAAAGTTACAATTCCAAGCATTCCAATTAAAGTTAAACTTCTCAAGCATTCCAATTCCAAATCCTTTAAAGTTATAAACCAAAAGGAAAATGCAAAGCAAAATGAATTAAAGTTACAACAAAAAAGAAAAATTCAATTCAAAGTTAATTAAAGTTACAAACTAAAAGGAAAATGCAATGCACCAATGTTACAAACTAAAGTTATAAACTCAAGTGTTGGTGGTGAGTGGATTTGAAGAACCCCGTTGTGTTGTTTGAG